ACATTTCGAGGAGAACCTCGGACGCTTCTTGGGACTGCACGGAGAGGAAGGGGGTTGCGCTCCCTTTCTTTTCTCTTCTTCCGCCGAGCTTGTCGGCGCAAGCTCTCCGGAGAAATTTCTGTAGTTTGTACGTAAACAGCGGGGCAGTGTAATTATTATTCGGTACAACACGGGCGGCCGGGCAGGTAGGTTTTCTTCGGTAACTCCGTGCTCGCGCGCGCTTCGCGAGCCGAGCTTTTTATTTATACGGCTCATTGCGCCTCTCTCCTCCCTCGCGATGTTACTTGAGTTCTCTCGCCGGTTTTCCGCCACCCCCAGCCCTCCCTCGCTCTCCTCCTCATCCCACGCGCGTCCGCCACCCTCGCGAATCCAATTATTCTGTACTGCTTGCCGAAGAAAAAGCGCGGCGGCGAAGGCCTCTCCGGCCGCATTGCGCGTTACCGCTGCCGCCACCGCCGACTTGTGGCTCAGCTTTTACCGCTCCTCCGGTTCGTGTTCGCATTCACGAGCTTCGCCCCGAGGTAAAGCGTCGCTTAAAATGCGGCAACGTTAGCGGATGTTTTAATTTGTTTGCGCCGCTGCGAGCTAAACCGCGTAACCGCCGCACTCTGTTGTGCATAAAAAAGGGGTCCCGCGATCCCGGCCCAATCTCCGAGGAATTCCTACTTTGTTATTTAATTATACGATCACGACTTCCGGTGTATTCCGCGTTTTGATTACGAAGAGGAAAAGGGGGGAAAAAACCAGCTCTCTCGCTCTCTTTCTCACTCTCTCATTCTCACACTCTCTTTGGCCGGACAGCGCGCGCTCTCTCGCGTGATTTCGCCGTTCCCCACACCTGGCAACCTTTGTCCATAAGATCAAGCGGTTTAATAACATGATTCAAGGAGCGGCAGCGGTCGGTACATTAAGGTCAGATGGGTCGAGGTATATAAAGATAATAGCCCGCCACCGACCGACCGACCGACCGACCGACCGACCGACCGACCGACCAACCAACGAACCGACAAATCGACAATAGTTTTTAATAGATTATAATATTCGTCGTGGAAAGCTCACCGGTTAGCTCAGGTTAGCTCAGGTTAGCTCAGGTTAGCTCAGGTTAGCTCAGGTACGCGCGCGATTGATTTTACCAAAAGTTACACCCACTGCCTGAATTGATCCGATCATTATGATGTATGATAAAGCTAATAGTATATATAATATACCATTATATAATAGCTATTCTTGCACTAATAAAAACATATTAAATTTTGAATTTATACGAAAAAAAAAACTATAATATTCCCTCCGCACATATTCCGGAGAAAAATGTGAGGAATAAATTCGGTGGTTGGCAAAGATAAATATTGCGGTCAGCCAACCCTTATGTAACCCCTGCACTTAAGATCATTTTAAATTCATCTTCGGGTGCTCCGTAGCCGAAGGGACGATCCGTGCAGCATCCGAAGATGAATTCAAGACGATCTTAAGCGGGGTCTACAATGAGAACTTAAGCCATAAAACTTAAGCTTTAAGCCTAAGAGCCTCCGCACAAGAACATCCGTAATATGTTAAGTTTACGGATTTCTTTGTGCGTTGACTTAAGTACAAGTTTACGTACAAGGTCATTGTATTAGGTTTGGTCATTGTATTGTCAATACTTAACGTAACGTAACATGTTACGGATGTGCTTGTGCGTTAGCTCTAAAGCTTACACGGAAAAAAAAGATTTGCTAATATATGGACAACTAAAAATGTTAGCTACAGGAGCAAATTTTCTTGCTTTCAGAGCAAAGTTATTTAGTTGTGATAGCTAAAAGATTTGCTAATACAGGGAACAATCGACTGTAATTGATCAACTTCTTACGGCTTCAGGCTTAAAGTTTAAGTTTTATGTCTTAAGTTCTCATTGTAGACCCCGCTTTAAGCATAAGATTTGACCGTGAATACTGTGCTGAATCATTCGGAGGCAACCGAGCAGATCCTTAAAATCGTCGTCGATGCGCCGAGAGATATCGCACTCGCGCGGAGGAAAACCGCGGCTCCGCCGCCGTTATGATCGTGACGTGGAGGTCGTCACGTCGTCGCGGGGACGAGAAATCTGTCCACCGCCACCACACCGACGGCGCTTAATGATGAGATCGGAGGCACGGCGATCGGCGATCTTTCTCGCGCGCGGCGGGGTCAGGCGGGTCGCGGCGCGTAAAAATAATAATCAATCGAACGGCCGATAAGTGAGAGCTCGGCAATTACGCGGTGGCGGCGGTGCCTGTGCTGCGGTTTGCCCCGGCCCCGACCAAGCCTCTCTCGAAGCCACGACGAGAAGGGAGAAAGAGCCTCCGCGCGCGAGAGAACTTCCTTCTACTGCCTTTAATTCGCCTCCATCTCCGTGCCACCCCCTCCCGCCGCGCTATCATAACGTAACAACGCGAGACTCCCTCGCTTTATTATTAAAAGTTAAAATTCCGGTGGGAGCCGGAGCGATCTTGCGGCGAGAGCCTCTCTACAGGTATTCCCATCCTCTCGATCTTACGCTCTCTCCTTTCCGCCCTGCCAGCCTCACCTTGTCCTCGCTTCTTGAGCTCCTTGCCTCTCTGTCTCTCTCTCTCTCTCTCTTTCTCTTCCTCCCTCTCGATTCCGGTGTTGCGTCCGTTCTTCTCGCGCTCCTCTTCGTCTTTACTTCGGCTCCCTCGATTCGCGGTCTTCTACATTGCTCTTTTTCCCTCTGTAAACTCGCACAAACGTTTATTGGCGCGATACTCTGTGTTCATAACGGCCGCTAGTAGCAATCGCGTATAACTCTCCCGCGTTCTCGGCGCATCCCCACGGATAATCGTATTACCGTCCATCTTGTAACACCGCACACCGAGATGTCGAATCGAGATTCGAAACACGCGGCTCTCTTGTCTTCCGCGTTTTACCAGCGAAACGATGTTCCTCTGCCCCTCGTTCTCTCACCCCTTCTTTAGCAACCGAAAGCTTTCTCGCGGTCGGAAACGCCGGTTTCTTCTCGCCCGTATGTCACGCTCCGACGCGAGTAGGCGCGTCGCTGCGCCCTGAGAAGAATTAACAGATTAGAGAATCGCCGGGATTTTCGTGGCGAGCTCCAAAAATTCGCCACTCACTGTCGCTTTTCATCGCCCAGATTTCACCGGCTCGTCGATGTGTGTTCGCCAGCTGCGGTGCGGCGCGGTGCGGTCTGCCGATACACCGGCGATTTCGCTCGCGTTTCGACAACGAGTTTTTCTCGCCGGTCCGCTTGACAACCGGTATTGTCGGAAGGTGGTAAAACTGTCCACCGAAGAGTAAAGAGAACGGCACGCCCGTGTGCGCGCGCGCGCGCGTGTGTGTGTGTGAGTTACGCGAAGCGTCTCGCCGAATTGCCATTTACTCACCGACTGATTGAAACGCGCTAACGGCCCCTACGTCGTCGTTTAAACGAAACGGCGGTCAGCCGCAAAATTTTCCGTCGACCTGCCGGAATCGCTGCGAATACGAGAAAATACGAGTGTGTGAGGAACAAACACGAGAAGAAAAAGAGAGAAAAAAACGAGGTGAAGAACGAAGATGGGTCGTGAAACGAACTCGACAGAGAAAGAGACCAAGTATCGCTGATGAGAGAAATAAAGTTATGATCAAGCTTTTTATTGAAATTTTGACGAATTCCACGGATCTTGTATGCAATGATACAAATAATAAGTGTAGAAAGGAGACAACTCAAGTTCTCTTCGCGTTTTACACTGACAGAAAAATACCTGAAAGATAAGAGTGATTTACTCGTTGGGTGTTAACGACATATTTATGCACGGAAAAAAAGGTTTGGTTGAATTAACCAAATATCTGGTCGAATATCTGAACGATCCAGAAATTCCGATTGAAGTAACCCGAATTCTGTTTAAGTTAACAAGATTTTTGGTTGACTTAAACAGAATTCGGATTACTTCAATCGGAATTTCTGTATCGTTCATATTCGACCAGATATTTGGTTAATTCAGCCAAACCTTTTTTTCCGTGTAAATGTAAATTTTTTGTGCAAATAAAACAAATATTGCTTTTATAAAAGCAACGGATTTTGGAGAATATTGTCTCATTTGCGAGAAAGTTTGTCTCGATGTAAAAGCTTGTATATTAGTACGAGTAAACGTGTTACTAGTAAACTAGTATCGTAAATAACTATCGTACACATATCGTACACTATCGTACATATATCGTAAATAACTATCTCTCATAGTTGAGATATTTTCCGTCTCAGTGCATATTTGCGACGGGGGATGTCGTCTGCGCGCGAGGAATAAACTGTTCGGAGAATGTCGATCGCGCGGCGGGATATTTTTGCTCGTTTCTCTCTCCTCCGCTCCTTTTTCTCTTTTCTTTTTCCTTACGGTTAACGACGCGGTAACCCTTTTGCGGACGACGGACGCGGGAATAATCCGGCGCGGACGGCGGTTCGCGCGATTACGTATTATGCTAAACACGCGAGAATGGCTTTTTAAATGGAACATCTACATTTATGTAGTCAACGGAGCGTCCTCAGCCGTCCATGGCCGCCCGGTGAAACGGGGGGCAGCGGCGAATTAAATGCAATTTTCGTCCACCGAGGCATGCATAACAAATTGTCGAACGTCTTTATACTTAGGAACTGCGTGACATTATGCACGTAGCACGGGGGCAGGAGGAGGGCGCGTTATTTCGTCGCATGGCCGATTACAATCCGATTATTATGCCCGCATAATGTCCACTGTCCTCCCCGCATTGCCGCCCCGTGTAAGCACGTAGTCACTCACCTGCGCGCGTACGAGCGACGGTTGTGCGAGCGGAATTTCTAAACGAATGCAATTTAAAAAGGAACGATAAAGCAGAAACTGGCTACGAGCGGGGAGAGAGTATCGGCGGCGGTAAGCTGCTGCCGCCGCCGCTGCTACGCTCGATCCTTAAAATTGAAAATTAAACGTTTCGCAGCGCACTGTGAATTTTGAGTAGCATGTCTGACCTGTACGTTCACGCTTTTTCTGTTTCATGTGCTGGCCCAGGATCCGACTTCCGTGAGTATGGGTCATTAAGTGCCGCCAAATGCTACAAAGTAATGGGTTCGGGGCCCGAGAAAACCGACGATGGCCGGCGATTAATTGCGGAGCGCGCCACGGTTCTTGTATGCACTCTCTCGTGTGCGAGAGTGCAGCACATAAGAGGGAGAGAATTCGCGAGCGTTTCGAGCCGACCCGCGTCCCGAGGAGTTTCGCGCGTATCAACATGCATGTAGTTTACATTGCTAATCGGTAAAAGGTATGCCGTGCGAAGGCGCGGCAGATACCTCGATAACCCATACCGGAATCGTTTATGAAACCGTAGCGGGGTTGATTCGCGCGGCGGAACTCCGCCGATCGGTCGGTTATTAACCGGAGTGCATTTCTGTTGTTGCATATACGCCTGGGCTCGATGCGGAATCACCGTGGGATATCCGTCGCACATACTGCACAGGGCGTGAGTATTTCGCTTGACTTTTCTTTTCTTTCGCTTAGTCTTTGAATTTCTTGGAGTGAATTTTTCCGATCGAAACAGCGAGTGAAATTTTCGCGAGTGAAATTCCGGTGATGAATGAGATCCTGACGGGTGAATACAGCAAATGTTTTGATTAGTTAGAACGCACACAATATTTCTCTACTGCTAAGAAAGTCGATTATTTTATTTATTTTCCTTTCGATGGTCATCTTTAGCAGAAAATATTTTCTTGATGATAATCGTAAAATATATTTGTCGCAAATTTGGAAAATTATTATTCTCATGTGTTTAAAAGGAGAATTTACGCTCCTTACAAGAATGTTACAAAATTTTATCGAAAGGAAAGTTGACTTGTCTCTGTGTAGTAAGCAAACCGAATTTTTGTTTCAATTTAACTTAATATTATCAATTGTAATATTAAACTTTGCTAATATACAAACTTTGCTAATATACAAAATATATCTTGAAAAAATTTGAGGCTTACAATAGACTCGCGTTTATGTAAACTTGTAAAATATTTGAAATGAGTAACTCTTATTTCAATGCAGTATGTATTTTTCTGTGTACGAATTTGCTGTAGCAACATTGGAACACGTCAGATTCAAGTTTCAATTTGAAAATATCATCAGACAATTCGAGAGTGGAGTAACTCACTTATCAATGAGTGAAAAGCTACTCACAAGTAAATCTACTCAAAAGTTATACTCCGATTTCTTTCTAATTTGGCACAAATGTAGAAGTACAAAAAGATTTAAGTCACATTTTTTATTTTGGCTCTTTGAGTTTCACGGGGAGTTTATAGCTTTTCAATGTTCTCACTCCAATCATTAATAAGTGCAACAAAAATGCATAAGAAATCAAATTGAATACAAGATATAGTTTAAAACGTTTATAAACAATTTTAATAAAATCAGCATAATTAAGACACGAACCATTCTAAATTTTTTTAGCCGAGATTCCAACTGAAATATTTCAAATCTATGTTAAATTAGTCAAAAATGATTCGAATCTCGGCCAAACTAAAATCCGGCATTTTTAATTAAAATTTTAACAAAATCGGCATAACTAAGACACGAATCATTCTAAATTTTTTTTTAACCGAGATTCCAACCGAAATATTTCAAACCTGTGCTAAATTAGTAAAAAATGGTTCGAATCTCGGTCAAATCGAAATCCGGCAATTTTAATTAAAATTTTAACAAAATCGGCATAACTGAGATACGAATTATTTTAAATTTCTTTAGCCGAGATTCCAACCAAAATATTTTTAATCTGTGCTAAATTAGTCAAAAATGGTTCGAATCTCGATCAAACCGAGAAATTCGGCAATTTTAATGTTGATGTTAAGAGTGAGAACATTAAAAAGTTATAAATTGTCCATGAAAATCAAAGTGGGTAAAAAAAAGTGGATCATGAAAAAATATTATCTAAATATTTTTTGTACTTCTATATTTATGCCAAATTAGGAAGAAATCGGCGTGTAACTTTTGGGTAGATTTACTTGTCAGCCTCGAATTATTCGGCTGACACTTCGTTTCCCGAGTAGATCTCACTTAAAGAAATTCAGAGAATAGCGTAGAGTAGAAGCGTGAAATTGCTGCCGGCATTTTTCATATTTATCGGCAGAAACTTACGGGTATGAACGCCGATGCCCGTTTAGTGAGATTCGCACAAGCACGTTGCATTGAATTGAAAAACACACGCTGGTCTGAGGCTCGATACTACGGCACGACGATTATTATACCATTTCTACCCCGTGATAATGAACGTGGAGCGGCCCCTAATTAATTGAAGTAATGACGACGCTCGCGCAACGCACGAGATGCGAATTAAGTATATACCGACTTCACAAATTATCGGTTTTAACTTCTACCCGCTCGTATCCGTGCCTCATTGATTGTACGTATGATGTAATGATTCCCTTTGGCCTCGACACGGATCACCTCATCCTCCTTCTCGTGGACCGCGAAATACACAAATACACGCTCGTGGGAACAAGGAATCCGTAAATACGGCCGATTATCGGCGGTAAAAGAGAGGGAAGTAAGAGAGATACCGGGGAATATCGCGATTCCGGCACGTTTACGATGACCACGACGTTGCCTGGTCGATCGGTCGGTCGGTCTGTCCGTCGGTCGTTCCCGCGCCGGCGGCGACGGCGCGTTCGTCCCGATAAATCGGAAAGGGGCCCGCGAGAGCAGCCCGGGCCCCGAATACGAAATGACGGGACGGATAACTGACGTCTCTATAGTAGTAAAACTGCGACCGTGGCGACGGGGGTCCGCAGACGTCGTCGGAGACATCCGACGCCGCAGGCGGCCATTGTCTCAGAGGGGTCCCAAGGGCGAGGCCACGGAGAAGGGCCAACCCCGGCTGACACGCACGAGGGGGTCGTAGCACCCCGTCGCGCCCCTCACGGAATTAATAACCGAAATTCGAGTATATCCGCCGCTCTCTCTCTTTCTTTCTTTTCGCTCTCTCTTCTCTCTCTCGCTCTCTCGCTCCGCCGGGAGTTATCACTACGCGGCTACGCGCCCACCTGAGCGGCCTTCCGCCATGGGGCCCCACGACGCGGCGGCGATCCGAGCGTCGCACACCCACGCGAAAAAACGCCGACTCGAACCGAGCCGCGCGAGTGAGTTATAATGAGGATCGGCGAAATATCTCTTTTGCGGTGTTACTCGGTACCGGAATATACACATATACCAGCGCAGGGGGCGAGGTAGTTTAGGGCGAACGGAGGGCGCTTTGTCGCGCGGAAGACTCCGCTTCGTGTAGCGTCGTCGTGCTACTCGACGTCGTAAATTCGCCGCGCGCGCGCGTTTACAATCGAGATGTTGCGCGAGATGGAACGATTGCTCACCCAAGAGAGATCGCACGCCGAGATTTATCCCGATGGGATCGACGGCCCCCCTCCCGCGCAAGGTGTGTATCTCAGAAGACTCTCTCGTCGAGGAGGTATTGAAATTTGTGCGGACTTTCGTATCCTCGCGCACCAATTATCTGTGGAGCGAACTGGCGCAGAGACCGGCGTCATTCTTGCGCTCTCTTAAAGTGAATCAGCGAACAGTCACTGATATCAGTTATGAGTATAGCACTGAGCACTTTCGGTGCTATACTTATAACTGCAATCAGTGTATATTCACTGTTTTCAGTGATGTTTGACTGATTCATTTTAAGAGTGTCTCTCTTAAAAAATTTTCAGAGGCTTGCTCGGTTTCACTCGCGCTCATCTCGGCGTCCCTCGAATTTTCACGTACAAATCGTCCCTTTTTTTCTTTCTTTCGGTCGTAGCTGGATCGCAACCGACGCTATAAGCGAGCAATTAAAAGCGCGCACCGGGGACATTTATGTTGGCACTAACTGCCCGTTAAGACGGGCAGCCACCTAACCGTGGAAGGTGTAATTGGCCGACAGGCTGAAGCTGCGGCTCGTAAAGGCGCAGCGGGTGTGCCTCGTCATTCTGTAGTTTTCCCAGCACAACGTTTACAAATCGCGTCATGAATCCCGCGTCGTTCCCGTGCCGATTTCGAATGCGAAAGATCGCCGACAGAAGAAACGTCGCTCTCTCGGATTGCGATCGGGAAACGACAACAGTCATCTGAGAGAGAGAAAGAGAGAGAAAGAAGTAAACGGAAGCTGAAAACGGAGGAAACTCTCTTGTATTAATTAAGATAATTAAAAAAATAGCTGTTCCCCCCGCCGCTCATTAATTACGACACCGGCCGGGAAATGAGGAACTAATCGCGTAAACAAATTTAAGAGTATACACCGGAACAAGTGGACTGCCCGGCGTCTTACTTCGACCTTAGCGTTCTCATCATACGCATAATGGGCCGCACGGTTAGGTAAGCTCGGGAGGCAAGAACGTCTGGACGTTGAAAAAGCGAGTTGTTATTACTACGGTTATTAATACAGATCTGTCGGCAGATAGTGTAATTGTGCTACAACGTAGTCAGCAAGTATAATTTTAATTGCGATAGGCCGCGATTATGGCAGGCGTACTCGCACCGAATGTTTCGACGAATCGGCCTCGCGATCGCGTGTAACGAGCTCTCGGTCTAATGCGCCGTGTTAAAATAAAGCGACTCAGTTTGTTCCGCCAAACTGACACGGAACCTGCCGAAATTTCGGCTCCACTTTCATCTTGCAGATTCGAAGTTGAAGTACTAACGGAGAATCGCAAGGTGCAACACTATACGGACTGTTCTCTTTGTGTGTATGCTAGAAATACTTATCGCCGTGTCCTTGAAGCTTAATCTCCAAAGAACCGAATAAACTCGTTTAAATATACTCGGTTTAAATGAAGAGATTTTGATTTAAATAAATATGCTGATAGTATCTACCTAATAAATATTTGTTAATTTTAAGTTATTTTTTCTTAGTGTATCTATAATTGAGTAAGTTACATAATTAACGCATCGTTATCAAAAACATCGTTTTTAAACGCATCATTAAAAATAAGAATTAAGATTTAATGTGAATAAAACATCGAAATAATCGAATATTAAATAATTCTCCAATAATTGCTTCTTCATACTCCA